TATGTAATGTAATACAGGGCGTCTGTTTTATCTCAATACAGTGAAATATCTGGCGTGATAGTGAACGTGTTAATAAGTAAATGTTGTTCAAATTATGTCGTGTTTTATGTCATTTTCATCAGAAAAATCTCATCAATATGTTAAGAAAAATTTCGGGATAAAAAAACGCAAAATTAAAAAAGTTGATATTTAAATCGCTTGGTTGCCTCGACTCACGTTTCATGCTTATCTTTTATTCGCCGTCCTTGTCTACGTTCGGCTAACTACGAAGACGGGCGCGAGGCTCGAAAACGTAGTCCCTGACTCTACGAGTGTTAGATTTATCTTCCTTGCGGTCTGACACTTGTGGAGAATATACTGTATTAACCAGGCTACAACCGATTTTATTGCTCTGCGTCACGCCCATTACAGTAATATCTCTCACACTGTCGTCCTGGTCGGAACCGAAAGGCGTCACTTAGGTGGAGGAGACACGGTTTTCGAAACAAATTTTCTAAAATAATATTAATTATATATATTATTTATACATTTATTATTGAGGAGTCAAGCTGGCGCTTGACTTGGAAAGCTACCGAAGAGTCACCCTACCCGCTCCCCAGTTCTCCCAGGGTAAACAAAACTGCATTCTTATATTATTTAAAGTTGGAATAACTATAGTAAATTTACTACAGTCATTTGGCATAAAATAGTCACTTCTAAGTCACACGACGTTATAAAGGGTTAAATAAAAATCAACAATTGAATCGAAATGTTATACGATCGAATAAAAATCCAGAATAAATTCAATTATTTCGATGAACCACTTTTGCATGTTATTTAACAAAGAACAGTATCGTACACAGGACCACCGACAATTTAAAATTTGCGAGCACGTGAACAACACTTCAATCTCTTCACTTTTCTCCTTTTCCCTTCCCTTGCTTTCCTTGCACGATCCTTTGACTTTCCGATATCAACGCCAGGACAATACTTCGGAGGACACGGATTCTGCAGCACACGTGAAATTTTACGATGCACCGGACTCAATCTCGACCTCTTCATCTCTTCTATAAAATAACGATTGCCTCGTCTCACTTCGATCGTCATCGGTAGACACGGGTCTAAACCATTCTCTGTCTTGAAAATTCTCAATCGTACCGAATACAGTAATATCTCGCACACTGTCGCTACTCGAGCTCCCCTCACACTGCCGCCTAGCTGCTCCTACGCCTGTTACCTTTCTCGGAGTCTTCTTTTTACTATCAAGTAAGGAAGAAATGAAATAAACTTTCCGCTCTCTTATCAACTTACAAATATTCACCGTTGAGAAGAAGAAATGCTGCAGACAAACAAAATTGAAGATCAAAACCTTCCCTCAATTGCAATACCAACAACTTCCATAAATCTTTTAACACTCATAAGAAGAAGAAATAAAGGAATGGAAAATTACTTGATAATTATTATCATATGTACTTCATAAAAAATGCCTCCTGAAGTTTTATCATTACTAGGCAAATGGAGAATTTGGGGACGTGCTCCTTCTTAAGAAATAAAATTAAGCAGGGAACTACGAAACGAACGTTCAGGAATTCATGATTGCTCGCACGAAATTCTTTTGTGATCGGTTCGCCATGCAAATGCACCTATAACACGCGAAGAATTTGCAACCCAGAATGGACTTAATTAATCAATAACGTCCAAAAATAAAGAACCAAAAAATACGCTCAACTTTCCCCATGCCAGATCACGTTAACTGCATCTGAAATAATGATGACCTCAAAGAGAGAATAAATCCTCCTCTGAACACTTTAATCCCTACATTACTTATTGAATGTTCATCTCATATTACATTCATCTAACAATTACAGCGTTCAATGTTCATATGGTTGTTCATCAGAAATCCCTGCACAAATGAACGACTCTTAGAAAAACATTATGTCTAAGGGTATGATAGATAAGAATAAGATTTAAGGTATCTCAAAAGCTTAAACATTTTTCTTAAAATTTCTTCTACTTCTGTTTCTTTTAACTCTGTATCTCTTGTCACT